ACAGTTGGGGCTGGGAGTCTCAAGTGTGAGGCAATGGGGGGATAAGAAGCTGCCAATTAATATCCATTTTGTGCAGGACTTTAATCTTATTGGAAATACACTGATGAGGAATTTTACTTAAACATTATATATGTATATTTTTAACAATTTCCTTCACTAAATGAATGTAATAAGTCAGTGTGTGAGTGTGTGTGTGAATGGGTGAATGAATGTAGTGTAAAGCGCCTTGGTCAAGTCTCCTAACTTGAATAAAGGCGCTATATAAGTACATGCCATTTACCATTTTACCAATAAATACAAATATTTGGATTAACACAGATCCAGACATTAAGTTAATTTTCACTTGATACTTTTATTCTATATTGATTAAAATGTGTTGTAATCCTAATTCTGTGTGTTCAGTAAGGTGGGTTGAACCTGGCCCTGCATTGGTTCCCTTTGAAACCACAGAAGGTTTTATATACCAATTCCAATTGTTTTTTGTTCATTTTGATTCTGATGTTCGTGGTTATCGGTTGGGAAAAGCTCAAAATTAATTTTCTTTCGGAAAAAAATAAGCACTATGATACATATGATCTATAAGACCATTGTGTTTTTTTTGTATCTTATTCCCTCTATAATAAGAAAAATTCCCTCTATCCCTCTAGAAAGTATGACTAGGTGCCGGACACTGATTGTAAATAAAATCAACATCTCCTTTGATTGACTTTCATAAAGTCTTTCAATGACAAGTCTAAAGTTTTTGTCTTGAAGACTCCCCTGACTTTGATTTAATTAAACGCAGTGGACCAACACCAGCTGATAGCATATATCACCAATTTTGACCAAAATTTTTTTGATATTCTGCCACTTAAAAAAAGATCATTTGCAGTGTTTCCATCAAAAACTGCATTAAAATTAACCTTTGAATATGTTTTTTCATGCAATATATGATTAAAGAAAAACACACCATGCATTATCCTCCTACTACCGTATTTTCACGACTATAAGGCGCACTTAAACGTCTTTTTTTTCCCTCAAAATGTGCGGTGCGCCCTTTGGTGCGGTGCGCCTTATGTGTGTTGTAACTGCGACTTTTGAGACCACCTCATTGAGGAGATGATAAAAGAGTGGCTGAATGTAAGGAGACCAGGTGTTTTTTTTCCACTCATCACCATCGCTGTTAATATGTGACTCCATGCGTGCCCATCTCACAGCTGATGTGAAAAACATGGGGAAACAAATTAACGCTGTGCTCGCTGTTCAACCGCTCGACATCGGTGTGAACCAGACCCAGCAGGTGCAGCAGAAGCAGCGAGTTTACATGCAAAGTAAATGGTTGACGCGCGTATAGATGCAGCAAAAGGTCCTGCAGCGCGTTTTTGAGCAGCAGGCGCAGCGCATCGCGCTGCTGCTGCTCGAGATGGAAAAATTGAAGTTTTGCTGCTGGACGCGCCGCATCAACCAATCAGAGAAGCTGATCTGGGAGCTGACAGCGAGACAGACACAGCGCTCTGATGACATATTATATTAACGCAAATGAAAAAGGCTGGATGGATGAGGAGATGATGCAGGCAGGTGTATGTGAGGAGACCAGGTGCTTTTTTCCACGCATCACCATCGCTGCGTGCCCATCTCACAGCCGATGTGAAAAAAAGGTGAATCAAATGAACGCTGTGCTCGCCGTTATCCCGGGGGGTCTGAAAAAGGAACTTCAACCGCTCGACATCGGTGTGAAGCAGCCGTTCAAAGTAAGGCTGCGAGCGGCGTGGGAGCGATGGATGACAGACGGAGACCACAGTTTCAGGATAATGGGAAGGCAGCGCCGGGCAAGTTACGCCACCGTTTGCGGATGGATTGTAGATGCTTGGACTAACGTGTCTGCTGGGACTGTTGTTCAAGCTTAGTTGTTCAAGCTCCCTTAGTTGTTCAAAGCCGGCATTATTTCTGAGGAGCCGCGCTGCACGGAAAGTGACTCTCACAGCGAAGAAGGGGAAATTGGCATGTCTGATTTAGCGCAGCTGTTTAATTCAGAAACAGAGGATGATGACTTTGATGGGTTTGATTAATACTTTGTAATAAATACATGAATAAAGCACAATCATACTCAGTTTTGCTCCCGCTCTATTTTTCTACCTGAAAACTTAATTCAACAGCAGCCTCTGGGCGGGTCTCCTCCTCTTCACCGCGGTGGCTGGCAGGTGTTTTTTCATCTAAATAATCTAAATCTTGCAGCTATATTTGCTGTGATCAGTGGGAATAAAGTAGTTTTAATATGTTTTTAAGTGAGAAAGACCACCTGAAAACTTAATAATTGCAGTCAGTTCATCCAGATTATCTATTTCTGTCGGAGGCGCTCAGACCCCCACATACCAGCGGTGCACCGACAGTAAATCCCTTCAACAGCAGCCTCACCGCGGCGGCTGGCAGGTGTTTTTCATCTAAATAATTTAAACTGCAGGCACCAGGATACCGGCAATAAAAGCGAACATATTCCGTCAGCAGGTTTCAGGATTTTAAGTTAATTTAAGAGTGATCACAGCGCTGTGTCATCTGCGATGTGTCTGTCTCACGCCAGCTGCCAGGTTTGATTAATACTTTGTAATAAATACCTGAATAAAGCACAGTCATACTCAGTTTTGCCCCCGCTGTAGTTTTAAATATGCAGTACTGGTATTTAAAGGTAGTAGAGGACATGTACCTGTATATAAAAAACGCGCCCTATAGTCCGGTGCGCCTTATGTGTGTGTTAAATACAGAAATGGGACACATAACTGAGAGTGCGCCTTTTAGTACGGTGCGCCTTATGGTCGTGAAAATACGGTACTTTCTGTTGTCATTTTCTTCTTTTTTGCCGGTAGCAACATTGACTTATTGATCATGACTCATGATGCAAAAAAATGTTTTAATTACAGCTCTGTGAAAAACACCACAATCAATAGAGCTAAAAAAAAAACATACTTATTCCTAATCCAAAAACTTTTTATCCTAAGATGTTTTTTGGATTTGGTTTGTTTTCTTTAAAAGTGTAGTAGAGGATGTTCTTTTTCCGGGTAGATCATCAAAATAAGTGGTCCTCCTAATTGTCAATCATTCTCATAATATGTTTACGTGCTCGTCCCCGTTTCTACTTACCGGTGGTGAGTCTGAAATAGTGGAAAAATTGCAAATCTTCTTTTGGAAAGTAAGCTTGTATGACCGATGCAAACAGCAACCGTTAAACAGAGCAAACATGAGGAGAGATGGGCTTGTGCATGCTCTCACACGTGTTTAATAGGCATTCCGTCTCAGGAGCAGGTACATGGTTGTGCCTGTGCTTTGGTTTTAAAAAGGGGAGAGGGCGGGTCTTTTCAAAAATTCCCAAAATCCTCCACTAAACCTGTAAGTAATCTATTTTCGTAATTACGATTTACGTCATTAAATTGTTAATCAAAACACAGCTTCTGGCTTCATTGTATCATGTTATCCAAAGAAAAGCAACAGTTCCGTCCTTTTCCTTTTAACCCCATGTAAGAGGGTTGTGATGTTGTCTATGGTAAGGGGTGGTTTACATTAAGACAGTGATATTTGTAGACTGTGCTCTAGATATGTCTGTGTCTGGTGGCTCCTGTAACTCAAACTCCAGTTTGAGTCTATACCCTCAGTGTTTTGCCTTTGAATTGGCTTTGCCTTATAATCCTTTCAAGGCTGAAATTGTTTGATTACCTTTTTCACTATACTTTTTTTCAACTCACCTCGCCTGTAATGAGAAATATGATCTGACAGAGCAAATTATAAACAAGCAACATCTGTCTTTTGTGGCTGGTGGCCTGTCAAGTCAGCACCCTTCTAAATGATTGAGAGACAAATTCCTGTATTAGAAACCCTTCTTAATTATGTAATGATCCAATCAGGCTTTCATTAGCTGTAACCCATAATCTTAAACACATTTCAGAAAAAAAAAATCATTCTGTATGTGATGAATTATATACAACAGATTAATGGCACTTCTTCAATTTAATCACTGGAACAAATTAACGATTTAATGATATTCAACTGTATTGTATCTCACCTGTATAATCAGCCATGCTGTTATCGCTCATAGGTTTTTAATGAAGGCTCTATTTGTCTTTGTGTAGATGATTGCAGGACATTTTCATTCTTAATGGTTTGTTCTGACATGATGGTATTTAAAAGACCCACCCTCCCCACTTAAAAAAACAATGCATGTGCGAGAGCATGCCCAAGCCCACTTATCCTTGTGAACGCCCTGTTTAAAATGTGTTTTTCTCATAGCTCATACAAGCTCATTGTTTCCGCATACAGTGGGGACTATATAGTGGTCTGAATAGCAAAGTCAGTTAACTGACTGTTCGGACAGATGATCACTGCTTTTTGCTCCTCCTCCACTATGCGGTGTCTGCACCATATTTGTTATTATTTGCTACTGTTGGGTGGCAATAGCCAATGGCAACAGCAGGCCGCTTTGACAGCAAATCCTGTAATGCTTTGCGAGGGGAGCTCTCCACACAAAGCATTCTGGGATATATCTGCATCTTCTGAGGCCTTTCTTTTCTTCTTATACACTTCGTAGACACCTTTTCTATTACGACCATCTGCCATTTTCTAAGAACCTCAGTAAAAAAGGTGAGCCTCAATGACTGTCTGAAACCGTAGCTCACCACAGATACAGTATGTGGCTAAAAGTGCACATGATCAGAAAACATAGCTAACGGGATGAGCACCTAGAATGGCCTTACGTAAACATCACCAGAATTATTGACAATTAGGAGGATCACTTATTTAGATGATCCACCTGGAAATAAAAGATCGTCCTCAATACATTTAACAAAGAAGGCCAAAAGAGGACTGTGGGTTTACGGTAAAATGTCCCTTCAAATTGGTTTTCTTACCACTTTTAAAATAAAAGACAAAGATTTGTCATAATCCTTTATTTTTTATTGCAACAATGCAGATGTTAAGTTTTATATTTTTTATGCTGATTTATTATCCTAAACTCTAACCTTTTTCTTCTCTGTCAGCTTGTGTAAAGGCAGAACACTTTACTCTGTAGTGAGGGATGCCAAGGTTGTTCTAGATGTTAACAAGACACGACAGATTGCACAAGAGATGGTCAAGGTAAAGGAAATCAACATTAATTCTTAAGAACACTTCAGCACCCACCATCATACTGCAAACCGTTCACTAATCTCTCTCCTGTTTTCACTCAGGGGATGGGCTACCTTCATGCGAAGGGGATTTTACACAAAGACATGAAGTCCAAGAACGTGTTTTATGATAATGGGAAAGTCGTCATCACTGACTTTGGACTTTTTACCATATCTGGAGTCCTGCAGGCTGGCAGGTAAATATGTACCAAGTACTTTAGAGACAGCAGCTTAAAACTTCCCTCGCAAATAAACACCTTAAGTTTAGTTCAAAACTGACACATGAAGTTTCTTGTCAGTGAGGGAGTCATGGAAACATACAGTATTTACACAATAACAGTGTGATTTGTCTGGTCTATTTATTATCTCACCACCGTTATGGTAATATCCAAGCTTTTTACATTTATATTTAGTCTCAAATATATTCAATTAAACCAGCATCACGTTGAGTTGAAATGTTTGCTGTGTGCTTTTTGTGCTATTTCTAAGCTGTGGTTCATTAGAATTTGAAAGATCTTCATGAATACTGTAAGCTCAAATAAATAAACATTCCTATTTCCAAGTTTCGGCATGATAGACCCTAGAAAAAGATACAACAAAAAGGTATTAATTCCAAGAAACTAACAATTATTTAAGTTATGATAATGATTTGACCTGTGGAACTAAAAGTGTTGCCTTATGACAATAAATTTTAATTCTATTACTGTTAAAACTTTAAGGAAATTTTGGGCTAGTTATGTGTTTTTATCTTTATATTTTTATGTTTGCTTTCATCTATATATCTTATATGGTGGCTGAGGGGCTAATGCTTTGTAAATATATGATTTAACAACAAATCAATCAAACAAACACAAAAAGGACATTAAATCAAAAACAGATAAAAAAAAAAACATGGAAGGAATAAAGCTGAAAAGCTGTAATCACAAAAATAAAGAGCATCACGGTGTAAACATATTGCAAATCCAGCTCCAAATACTACAACTGATGGTAACACATAAGCCCACAAGTAGTAAAAATACAGGTTCACTTTCACCAGTATTCAGATTTGGTCTTGTAAGTTTCCACGAAAAGAATGACTCAAACAGGTTTGGAAAAAACTATGCAAAATATGTTAAAGATGAATTAGTCATTCTTGAAAACTGCTCAATTTTTAAACTGGGGGGAAGTTGTGAATTAATTTGTTTTCATGCAAATAGAAAAACCTATCAAATTAAAACCAAACAGCGGCATACTAAAGCCTCTATTATCTCGAGATTCTCTTTATTTTCAGTTACTCCAGGCTCTTTCATCTGTAATCAGAAGATGGAATCTAAATGGTTTGACATGCTTTTCTGCTGTTGGGCCCTTCTAACACCCACAGACTTGTTTTTAGTTTCATTTCTTTAGAAAATTACTCTACGGACTGCAAAACACACTGAAAAAGGGTGAGGCCTGTCAGTTACCAATGAAAATGTGTTGATGAAGGATCCCATCAACACACATTTCTTTACCGGCTGTGCTTCTATACAGACTTTTAAGTCAATTTTATCTCTATAGTGCGTTCAAGTCTAATTATAGAAATTAAACTATCTTCAAAAAATAAATTGTTTCTAATCATGTCTCAGAAGTGTTTTCCAGTATTTCCTAAATAAATCCTCTAATATTTCCACTTTTTTTATTTTTATATCGATTTTGTCAGTAAAAACATTTGGTAAACCTCCAGTCTATAGTGGCTACTCTTGAAATGTTACAATGAAAGCAAATCTGTCAAGAATTTATCAAACGTTTTTATGAAGTCATGTACCATTAAAACCTTGACCAACTTTTGCAAAGATTCTACAACTTTTGCAAAGAAGTCACATATTATGTGCAGACAAAAAATAAAAAAAACCCCTATGTAAAATATTAAATACACACAAAAAAAACTAACATTAAACACAATTATAAGAAGAAAAGAAGACATAATGTCATCACAAAACATATGAAAACCGGTTTCTGCTATATGAAAATAAATACATGGCAAATAGAAAATCATAATTATGAGATTAAAAGTTTTAATTTCGAGTTTCAAAGTCATAATTTTAAGTTTAAAAGTCATTATTATGAGATACAAGATACAATTATGAGTTTGTAACCCATAATTCTGACTTTGAAAGTCGAAAATACGACTTTGAATCTAATAATTATTACTTTCTATTTGCAATTTTTTTACTCTCATATGGCGGAAATGGGATTCCATAGTAACATGAATACAGTCTTAATTGAAATCTCTATGGTAGAAACCTGTTTTGTCTCCCCTTCAGTGTTGTAGTGCCTTTGTCTTTAGATTTGTTAACTGAAAAGCTCTAAACATTTGCAGATGTCCTTTTCATGTTTAACAGAATGTTCCATTAATAAGTGGAATTTAAAAAGATGTTGCCACAATAGTCAAAAAGACTAAATGTGCTCAAGTCTAAATCCTCACAACAGCATTTTTAATTTAATTTAGATCTATGTTTGGGGTTCTGCTGTTTATTTTACTGCACATTGCATTTGATCTTATCATAAAAAAAAAAAAAAATATATATATATATATATATATATCTAAAGGCTCTCCAGTACAAGGGATTTAGCCATCTGTGTTAATCATAATAACTCTCCATCTTATTAGACTGAATGTGAAGCTGGTTTTCTAAATGCTTTTAACATTGCTTGTTTTATTATTATAATTTTTTTTGTTTCCGGTCAGTTTGAGGAGAAAGCCACCCATCTGTCCATTTGCCCATCTATCTGTCTCTCTGACATACATCTATCTTTTTCTATTTTCCTCACGCTGTCCATTGGTTCCTCTGTCCGATTAAATGTCTTCTCCTGTGTCTGACTATCTGTTCATCCATCTGCTTATCTCTTCTTCCATCATTCATCTTCTGCCATTTCTTCACGTTTTTGTTTTCATCAGATCCCTCTTTCTCTCAAGTTTAGTGCCCCTGGAATGAAGTGGCAACACTAATGTGTCGCAAAACTAAAGAGTTTACTTGTTGCAAAGACGAGACCTAATTCACCACTTTAGATCAAATCCTGTATCAGAGAACCAAAAACTTTTAACTTTTACCTCTGGTGTTTAATTTGAGCTCAGACCGTCATTAAGATACAGCTTTGTTCACAGGACTCATTCAGGGATGGTTCTGAGTTACATACAGTAGGCAATGTAAGAGCTGAGCAGCCTGTATGGAGACTCAGGCCAAGTGCTGTATATTGTATAGCCATACAAATGTACAATGTTTTTCAAATTAAAATAATGCTTGGGTCAAAAGTTATGGATTCTTGCTTTAGTATTATTTACGTTTATGCCTAGTTTGATGCTTCCTTCTCCTAAGGATGCTATATGCTTGACATAAAAAGTAAAATGTGTCCTATCATATGTTCTCTGATTAATTCAGCTTATCACATGCTATGATATAGTAGTGATATAGAACTATCTATACATGTACAGTAGGTGCACCACTTGCAGGCACACAGTTCATAGAAAAAGATTAATTACCAAAACAGATACAGACTTGTGATGAGTTTAGCTCATAAAGCTGAAAAGGAATTGCACTCTAAAGTTAAAAAACAAGGTATGGGCAGAGGCGTTTATTACTCAATTAGAAGTAAAAATTTGAAAACACTTTTGACTCGAGTAAAAGTTTAAAATTACTATGTTTAAAACTACTTAGGGCCGGATCTATCAAAGGTTTGCGTGTATAAAAACGTGAGCTATTTCACTGCGCACGCTAAAAAATGTACAAACTAATCTATCAACAGCGTGCTAAAAGGATTTGGTCTTTAAAACGTGCTAAATAGCGCCTCTTATCCATTTAGTACTTTTTCTGCAATGAATATGCAATATGGGGCGTTTACACGCAAAAGTGCGTCTTGTGGGAGGAGAACATGTAAATATATTAATTTAGCGCTCGCAAAGTGATTTATTAAACCTGAAAGCAATTTTGCTAACGGTATCTGACTCTATATTTAACACGTTTCAAAAGAAGGTGCAAATGGTCTGTATGCGTAATTGCGCACACATGGCAGCGGTTATTGTCGCAAGAAGGAGACATCGAAATGAAGCAAGGAGACGCAGAGAACGCATTTTTTCACTCCGTGTGAATATTTTTGGAATGAACGAGGAAACGATCATCAAAACATATCGTTTATCCAGCATTGCCATTTTGGAGCTGTTGGGGGAACTCCGAATGGATTTGGAGCCAGCCACAAGGAGGACCCACGCAATACTAGATATCACAAAACTCCTTGCAACATTGCACTTTTTTTGCATCTGGGTCATTCCAGCGTACGGTTGCAGCGAGAGCTGGGATCTCCCAATCTCGTTTTTTCAGAAGTGCTGTCCGACGGGGTCGGGGTTCTCCCCCTGCGCCTGTGGAGCAACGTGCCAAATGCTGCGGGGATGCGTAGTCATCTCATCCACAGTCACAGGCCAATACAAAACACCTGTTTTTTGTTGTTTTTTTTTTACTGCAGCACATACCACCTTAGGGAATAAAGGTTGCCAATTTATATATATATATATATATATATATATATATATATATATATATATATATATATATATATATATATATATTTTTTTTTTTTTTTTTTGTTGGGGGTCACTGTAAGATTTAAATTTCTTAAAGCACTAGTTTATACAGACTACAAACTACTTTGCCGCAAACCACAAAACGCGCAAAACCATCATTTAAATAGGGCGTCTCCAACAGTTTTGCGCCTTCCACCAGTTACGCAATCATTCTTGTTAAATCACCCGCAAACCATGGTTCAGCCCCTCGTGCAAAATTCCAGTTTGCGAGCGAAAATTACTGCACGCAAAATTGGATCTTGATAAATCCGGCCCTTAGAGTATAAAAGTAAAAGCAATGTTGGTAAATATTTTAAGGGCAAATGCTTTAAACCTTATGATGGTTACTGCACTACAATATTAAAGGAACATAGTAGATTTATAACTACTTTAATGATAATATTGTTAAATTTTACATTGCATCATCTTGAAAAAAAAAAAGGTATATGTTGAAAAATTAGCTGTTGCAGTACTGAGTCCAACCACAAATAAATTAATTGTCTACATGAAACAAATTATTTTGATGGTTTTTATTTTTATTAAATACCAGCAGGCCCTACCGAAAAATATTTTAAATGAAAAAAAAAACTAAGAGTCTATTTTTAAAATAGAGTAGAAATTAGAGATAATTGCAAAAACCATAAGGAGTAGAAGTAAAATGTTGTCTAAAAATAATTACTCCAATAAAGTATAGAAAATCTAAGGTAACAAAGTATTTGTACTTTGTCACTTGACACCTTTGAGTATGGGTAGGAATTGTTGAGAATGTAAACTCATCCAAAGCCATAAATATTAAAAACGAATAGCCCTCAGGCTATAATAAGTACGCCGCAGGTGCCTTTGTTAATATCAGTATTCATAAAACTGAACATGAAATTGAACCCAGATTTGTCATTTGGATGGGAAACAGAAGAATAAATGTGTTTGCTGTCGTCATATATATATATATATATATATATATATATATATATATATATGACGACAGCATACATATATACATAACTTAAATCCAGTGATTATTATATATATATATATATTATATATATATATATTATATATATATATATATATATATATATATATATATATATAGAGAGAGAGAGAGAGAGAGAGAGAGAGAGAGAAAAATCATCAAACCAGCACTTCTAATAATAGTTCTGGATATATGAATATGTTCTAATTATTTTCCTTATCATCACAACACTATTTATACTGACATTAGAATAAGGTGGGACAATGAATGAAGTATGACACATGCTCTCCAAACATTAGCCTTTAACATTAAATGATAAGTCTTAATTTTAAACCATGTTGTACTCAAGCCTCCTGAAACATATTATTCATTTTATTTAATGAAATTTAAATGCATAAAGCAAACATCTACCTCTTTATTTCTCCATTTTAAAACAAGACAGCAGCACAGTTTTGCACAATGTACTGCATTAAATTCAATTACATTCATGAAAAAGGTGTAGAAAAGCAAAGCAGAACCGCAGTAGCTGGAATGTTATTTACTATAGTTTGATACCACAGTACAACAACAAATGACATATTCTGATAAAGTCGGTATCTTTTGGCTTTGTAGTCGGAGAGAAGACAAACTGAGAATCCCCAATGGCTGGCTTTGTCACCTGGCCCCAGAAATCATCCAGCAGCTTTCTCCAGACACGGAGGAGGACAAACTTCCTTTCTCCAAACAGTCAGACGTCTTTGCTTTCGGGTGAGTGTCCTCTAACCAGATGCCCAGTTATTTGTTTGTCCGACAGTGTCTGTGGCTGTTTATTTATAGCCAACGGATGACAAACTAAAAACGGTCAAACATTCAAGCTATATCCAGAAACTAACAGATGTTTATTTTTGTAAAGTTGAAAAAGGAAATGATTAGCATACCCCTCATTATGCACTGTTTATATATTGAATATTTTAAAGGAAATAATGTTAGAAACTCAATTGCACTTTTAATTGTAGTGCATTTGATTGTACAGAGTTGAGGGAACTAAAAATGGGACCGAATACTATGTTCAAAACCCAGCTACATGTTTTTGACTGAACATTAATCTTAATGTTAATAACTAGCATTTCTACCATTATTTATTTTTTCATTAGAACCACTTTTGTTAAAAGTTTGTGGTGACATTCATCTTACTGATTCACACAATGTTAGATACAGTTTGCCATGCTTCTTGAAATGTCAAATAAGTTTCACACACCATAGTCGTGCATTTCTCCTCCTTTAAAAGAGATTAAAAATCCCTTTGCCTCCAGTTTATTCTCCACAGCCTTTACGACTTGGTTTATTTGGGGTAGACCCTACTCTATAGACTACTAATACAACTGCGTTTTAAAACAGTTCTCCCATATGGATTGTTCGTGGCTGTTATTATTCTGAGAGGGAGACAAGCGCTGCACTTGTGCACAATGTCCCGCTGCTCTGTTGGCCTTTGTGCTACCTGGAGGTGACCCTCAAGGCTGTTATGCATATTCATCAACAATCAAGCTTCATCTCCTTTTTTTTATTAATTCTCCTGGCATGGAGTTATTTTTAGTCTACACACCTAAATGTGTCCAACTGAAAAATTTGAACGAGACGGATGGGCTATGTAATAACCACAGCTGCAAACGTAAAGATAAAACAAAATATTTAATACAGACCCATGATTCAGACCCACTAGTATTTCTATATACATCCTTGCTGCATATAGGCATGATCTAATACTAAACATTATTGGATTTTTGGTGCTTTTGCTTATGTGAGTATTAATCCTTCATATAATTCTTTTTTAAGATGATATGATAAAAGTTCAAAGTAGTGACGCCCCTCACTCCTCTCTACATTCGCAGCACCATCTGGTATGAATTACATGCACGTGAGTGGCCTTACAAGAGTCAGCCAGCGGAGGTGATCATATGGCAGATTGGAAGTGGTATGAAGCCCAACCTTGCCCAAACTGGGATGGGGAAGGAAATACTGGTAAGGACCAGCTTTTTCACTTACAGTGGGTAAAATAAGTAATGAGCACACCACCATTTTTCTCAGTAAATATATTTCTAGAGGTGCCATTGACATCACATTTTCACCAGATGTCGGTAACAATCCATGCGAACCACACAAAGAAATTAAACCATAGATGTGCAGTTATGTGTGATAAAGTGAAATGGCACATTGAAAAAGTATTGAACACATGAAGAAAGGAAGGTGCAAAAAGGCCTGAAAAGCCAAGACATCAGCTGAAATCTCTCTCTAATTATAAAGCAATCCTGCCCCTTGTCAGTGTAAATTAACATCAGCTGGTTCAGTCCCAAATGATGGTAATAAAAATGTGTCTCTGGTATCACACAAGAAAAAAACTCATGATGGGTAATAGTAAATAGCTCTCATAAGAGCTTCACAACCTTTTTTTTCAAATCATAATGACAGCATTAGTTGCAGAAGGATTTCTGAATGTTCCAGTGAGCAATGTTGGCGCCATACTCTGGAAGTGGAAAGAACATAATTTGACCATAAACCGACCACAACCTGCTGCTCTTAAATGATAGGAAGTTACAGTATAATTAGCTTTTTTTTCATAGGCTTTATTTACATATCTCACTTTAAGACCATTTGAAAGATGAACAACACCATATTATACCCTTTATTGCACAAATCAGTTTTGTCCTAAATAAAATTATTTCAGCCTATAGAAATTTCCAGGTTAAACTGATCCTAGACTCAATATTTAAATCAGGCCATGATGATAAAAAAATAGTAAAAAAAAAAAATAAAATAAAGACAAAGGCTGTTTTCGTTGGTTAAATGCTGTAGAGGATTACTTGTCTAAAAGTTTACCAGAGTCTAAAAACTTCTTAAAAGAAAAAATAGGAATGTCAAATGGTTATTTTTTTTTTTAATAATCAATCTTCAGGGAGCTCTGTGAATAAGATATGTGTGCAAAGATGCTTTCAACCAGGCTATAATTGAAGAGATAAAACTAGAGCAAGTTCTCCTCACAAATGATATGATTGTACTACCAACATTGAGTTTCCTTAAAAAAAAAAAAAACAACTGCTAAGACTAGTGCATGAAAAATTCTAAATATTTTTAGACTTTATTTTACCTTTTCCTACTAAACCTACACCTTCAACACTTCTAAAAACATCTCAGATCCATTCTCTCTCTATATATTTTTATATGTTTCTGCTGCCTCCACATTTGTTAGTTTAATAAGTTAACTTGCCACCACCAACAATAGCTACGTTTACATGCACAACATTTCCCCAATCCGATCTATGTTGATAGTGGAAAAAAATAAAATCTCAGTTTCCAGGGAGACTAAGGGAAATGATCAAATCATGACATGTGTATACATTTATGTTTGATCAGATTAAATAATTGAAGCATGCACCAAAGTGTCTATTTTTCTGGAAAAGCTTTGGTAGAAAAAGAAACTGCCTGTTTTGTAAACAAACTCGTACTTATTCGCTCATCTGGTGAAGATTCTGAGTCATCCAGGTCATAGTCATTTCAAAGGAAAGCGAAACGTCTTTGAACTTAAAAAAAAAAGGTCCTGTGGATTGTTTTTTAACTTTTTTTGGAATTGTTCACTCATCCTTAACTTTAGCTACTCTTTGTGCTTGTGCCTGTGCCCTTTTATATATGGTATATGGAAACCCCAAAATGTTATCCGATTATTAAAAGAAACCAAAAGAAAAACATATTTTTCCCATTGATCTATTGGACGCCTTTTCTTTCCTAATGGACTGTACTGTATTTGGCTCAATCTTTCTTATCACATAAAAAAAAAAAAAATAATTCTGATATAATTTTTCTTTTTATACAATCTTTTGTGCTATTTTGTGTTAATGTATGAAAAAAATGAAAAACTGGGTTTCTGGTTGCAATGAAACTAAATTAATTAAATGGTTTTCAATTAGCTCTTTTTGTTTTGCATAACATTTTGCTAACATGTTGCTATTTTGTGTTAATGTATGAAAATAATGAAAAACTGGGTTTCTGGTTGCAATGAAACTAAATTAATTAAATGGTTTTCAATTTGCTCTTTGTGTTTTCAGGACATTTTGCTAATGTGTTGGGCGTACAAGCCAGAAGAGCGGCCCAGCTTCTCCAAGCTCGTAGATTTACTGGAAAAGTTGCCAAAAAGGAACCGCCGCCTTTCCCATCCAGGGCACTTCTGGAAGTCAGCTGAGTATGTTAAATGAGTTAAGGCCATAAAACAACAGTCCACTCCTTTTACAAAACATCTGCCATAACTCTGCATAAATAGACCACCTCTTTAGAGAATGCACTGAATCATAAATCCAGCCGAGTGGTGAAAAACTGCCCATGCTGTGTGTTTCTCAATGGAATGTTGGCATTTGTGTGTACAGATGAGTTGACTGTCCACTTCCTTAATGCAGCCGGGACTCATGTTTTCTTTAATTTGATGTTAAACACACTGTATATATCTTATTTTTTCAGTCTTTTATGAGTGACTTGTTTGCCTCATTATATTTAATTTGTTTCTTTGATGTAACTTGCTTGTAACTTTCAACAGATCACATCATCTAAAAAAAACATGTCTGAGAACAAATGTAATTATGATTTCTGTTTTGCTTTTTTGTTTTGAATGAATGTAGCTGTTGTACATCACATACTGGGCATATCCTTAACATTTTCTTATCATCCCATTTGTCAGTCATTTCTGTAGGCACATGTTGTCATAGTTACCTCATGTTTTTTCCATGTATGAATGTCCTCTCATTGTGTTTGTTGAACTTAATTGTCCTTTTATTTCCACTCTAACATTTGAATGTTAAGGAGGCAGTGTTCCTGTTTGTTTGGGAATGTGTCAGCCCAGCTCTTTGATGAAAGACTGTACTCTCATTAGAGGGAGCTTTGAATTTTATCTATGAACACAGAGATGTTTGAACAGTTGCAGCCTTTGAGCAGTCAGACCAGGATTCCCTCACTCAATGCTTTCCTGTGAAAATTAGACTCTTGAAATGTATCCAAACTGTTGCTACAACTCAATATCGAATATGCTGTCACTGAGCCCTTTTCACCATAACTATTTCACTTCAAATAAAGTAGGTATATATGGGTACATATTATATCTCACAAAGATAAAAAGCCAACACTTGCTGCTATGTAGTCAGTTCTTCTGTTTTCAGAAATATTTCCCCTAATATGTGAACTTGCTGAACTCTAAATATAACATATTATAAAATTATTGGTTCCTAAATAGAATATGAAGGCCAAAAGGCTACTCTTCATTATCTTATACAGGGTGTGATTTTAAAGAATTGCAAAACTGTTAAATATTGGGTGTTATAGGTAATTATGAATTTTTTTTTCTTTAGTTTGTAAATCAAAACATTGTTGGTTGAAAGCAGTGTTGTAGTCACTCAAAAAGAAAAGCATTCATTTTACTCTATTCACATGTTCATTGATAAAATATGTACCTATGCCCCTTTTTGTAAATCTTAAAAAATACTTTAATTTGTAAATAATTTAAAGTAAAATCAAATGTTATTTTTTTTATTTTGAAAAACTTAAATTTTAAAAGTCTAAAGATACAGTTGATGTAAAAGACAATACATTTTCCAATTTTAGGCCTTTGCATATCAGTTCATAATATGATTAAGAAGTTAAAAATGGTTAATCGATAACAGATCATGTACTGATCAACATGCTGGATAGCTTGCTCTTTTGTCCTCTATGTGATGGGTAGCATTTTGTGAGAAAAAACAATAGGGCTAGAATATCAAAATAAACCCAAAAATCCCAAACCTGATCAATTAAATCTAGATAAATTTAATTGCTCTCCCACTGACAAAAGAGTCCTGTCGATCCTGTGAAAAGTTAATGAACAGTAACTACTGTAGGAACTGGAGCCAGGGGCTGTAATTTGATAAATTCAGATGCAGCCCAAGTCTGGATAGATTTAAAATTACAGAAGCGGAGAGTTTTTCTTCATTTTTAAATTTTTTTGGTGCTTATTTCGGACAATTGCTTCATCAACAATAAGCTGTTGTTGAATTTGAAAACAAATGAAATCAAATGAAGGGGTGGGATTTTTCTTTCTTTTGAGTTAATTTCTAAAAGTACAAATGCAAGCTACCCAGACAATCCTGGGGTCAAAATGCCTGTCTATTCTATTTAATTTATTCTAGTCTATTCTATTTAATCTATTCTATTCTGTTAAATTCCATTCTGTTCTTTTCTATTCTATTCTAAAAAGATTTGAAAAACTTTTTAGAGCATTTGTTCAGCCACTATTTTTAACAGATGCTGCTGAAGATCATTCTGTCCCTGCTGAATCATGAGTTATATTGACGTTTTTCTCTCAGCTTTTTTATCTTGACCTGATTTCTGACTGTGTTGTTTTTATTCAATGATTTTCATATTTGAATTTGATCTAAAATACATTTTAAACATAGGAACAGCCAAATATTTTTTACGTCCTGATGTACAAAGTGCTAAAATTGTACTTTCTGTACATTTTTCCTTTATATTGCAACCTTTACATTTCCAGCAAATTTGACAGTTTAACTGAAGAATCCTATGATCCTATGTTTTCAAGTATGACGACATCATTATGTGACTAACCCCTAAGCGCTTCTCAGCATTCCTGAATAACTATAGTAAACATTATTTACAGTGCTGCTATCTACAGGTGTAGCAACAGACATGTTTTAATTAGCTGTTCTAAGAGGAGATTTGTGATCCTTCTGAAAAAAAAGTATTTTCCTCCAAAGATGTTTTTTTTAGTTCTAGACTGCAAAACAAACATAATGCTGCAAATTCTAAAAAACAAAAACAAAAAAAACAGTCTTCCCTACTTTAAAATTTTAACATTGGCAGTCAACTTGATTGAATATCATGAAGATTAAAATATCAACTTTTTACTCTTTTACTCTCATCCAATTCGTTTTTTGCTTTTTTTGTTTTTGACTACAACACTGCTAAGGTCACTCTGGAGCACCAAGCAATCCTAAATGTGCAATATTACTTTAATTTCACAAATATCTTATAATATTTTGTCCTTGTTATACTCAAGTAACACCGCAAAGCAGGCAGAACTTTCCCTTTAACATATCAAGAGAGACATATCAACCTGCATATAACCCCAACCCAGGACATTTTTCTACTTCATGCTGTATATTAAAGTATACTCTAGCTGTATGTCTTAAACCTGAGTTGTATTATCTCAAATCATCATGGAACAGTGCATCACATGAGCTGTAAACTGCTTTTATTCTCTCCGGCCACATCAGATTGGCAGAGACAATCTAATCATGTGAAATAGCCATTTTCTAACTCATTATAAACACATCTGCCAGTGTTTGAAAAATGCACATTAAAAATATGCCTTTTTTGTTCTTTTTTTCAACAATGGTTTGTCTCTTCAAATACGGTTAGTGAATCATTTCAAAATGTACTGTTTACAACTTTCAAGTGCATGAGAAGGACTAACATTGATTTAAAAAAAATAATTCTTCACCACTATATATACAGTAAACATACATAAAAAGTATGTGAACTATTTTCTGATGCTGTTTGTTCATAGAGCAGTTTCATCTTTTAATTTTACATCAAGCTTTTGCTTAGATTTTCAATCGCTTTGAGAGGATGATTGTTTTAGTGTATTTATACGTAAACTGAAAGGTCAGGTTAGTATTTTCAATAAAGAAAGTTACATCCTGTACAGATGGAAAAAGTGAAAACAACCTGATAGGAAATCTGATATATAACATTCGTGCCAAGTGTACATAACAGATTGTAGAATATGTTTTATCATCACTTGCCATAATATTTATATTCCTTGTGGGATTTTTGAGCTTTTTTCTTTTGAATGTAGAAAATGTGTTGTGTTCTTCTTTTTGTTTTCCTTTTATTTGGTTATATGAATTCATTTTCCTCCATTTTATTTCCAATTGCATTGATTCTATGTTGTTTCTTTTCCTTGATTCTGTTCTTGTGTTGTAGATTATAGCTACCAAAACGCCTGTATTTACTGATACCTGATAGTCCATGGCTTAGTGATGAGTAGTTTTTGGTCATGAGCTCTTTTATTTGCACTCATCCTTTTAAAGTGTATGAGAATAAAAAAAATCTGTTTTCATTTTGGATGTTTTCTGTTTATTTTAAATGCAATCTTTTATCCATGTTTTACTTTGATGAAAGATTTTTAATGCATCTTCGCTCGATGTTGCACTTTCTGCCTAACTATCTTTGAGGGATGCTCTCATGATTATTTTAAAGGTTTAAGGAATTGAGTTATATAATTAGAAAATTAAATAAAAAAAGTATACTGCTGGTTATTATTGATCTTAATATTAACTTTTGCATTATTCAACAAAAATAGTATGTATTCACACATTTTTACCTTAGAGCAGGGGCAGGCAACCTCGGCCCTGGAGGGGCAACCGTCTTGCAACTTTTGCATGCATCCCTTCTCCAACAAACCTGAAACAAAGGGCCTAATGACCTCGTCGGCATGTCGTTAAGTTTAGCAAAGGCCTGGACGTTAACCATTCATTTGTTTCAGGTGTGTCGAAGAAAGGATGCATGTAAAAGCTGCAGGACAGTGGCACTTGAGGACCAACATTGCCTACCCCTGCATCAGAGAATCATGGGTTATTATGGTAATCAAAATAAAATAAATAAATAAATAAGTAATACTATAAAGGCTTCAGAAACATTGACTTTATAAAGGCTTCAGAAACATTGACTTTATAAAGGCTTCAGAAACATGACTTTAAAGAGATTGTAATAAGGAAATAGAGAAATTGATGAGAAAAAAGGATTTGTGGAAATTAAAAACTTTAAAGTAATGTTTTTTTTTATTTTGAGTGTAAGAATTATGTAGTTGAAATAAAATATTTAATTTAAGCTAAGGGTTTTGTATTTGCATTATTTATCAGGTTAAAAATTTCAGTTGCTCATTTACTCACCAATCTGAGTCCCACCTTTACCAATGTATATGACAAATCCACCAAATATTTTGAATTTTTTCCTTTTTGATATATACAAAATGCATTTGAATGTTCTACAGTTTATGAGACTTTTTGAGCCTTCCAAAGTCAACTATAAAATCATAGAGCATAAGATGAGATATTGCCTTCCGCACTACAGAGTTTTCATTTTGAAAAATGTAATTCATATATGAAATATTAGTTATTTTCTTCCAACCTTCCTAGAAAGACACTTACCTTCAAAATGAAGCCAGCTCTCACTGTGTGGGTGCGGTCCCTTTAATGATGTTTAAGAAGCGAAGCTAAGTGACCTCTGCAAAACACATCTTTCATGACTTAGACATTAGCTAAAAAGAGAACAATTGCTGTTCCTGTTTTAAATTTCATGGGAAAACGGCCACTTCATTTTAACTTTGTATAGAAATTATCACGCTCTGCCTCACATTACTGCTAGCTGATTGTAGAAAGTGGCAGGTTGTTTAATGATTGAGTGCAGTGTGGTCAAGCTACTGTAGGTGCCTCCATGAGGGGGTGGGTTAACACTTTCCTGCGATAGATGGTGAGGGCTGCTCATTTATCCAGATTAAGGATGAGCTGCTGCTCAGAAGGATGAATTCATGATGATTAATTATGGATGAATCACGTAAAATATCACTTTTGACTTCATGTAAATAAAACAATAGTATTATAACGTAGTTAATAAAGTTGATTTTCCATGATATAGGCCCTTTAAAAATAACTAAGAAGTGCAAAAGGTGCTACTGTATACTTATGACCAGGCTTAAAATGTAACAGTTTCTTGAACTTGGACCTAAAAACATGGCATTATAGGTCTGAGAGACTTAACATAACAGACAACAGATTAGGAAATGCAAGTAATGCTTATAAACTTCCAACAAAAATCCTACAGAAACCTAACAAGTTTTGACTGTTCTGAATAATTATTCATGATAGCGGTAAATATACATTCAACCTGTCAGAATGATAACTCCTTATGTATAAAACAGAAAAGCCATCAAAATAAAATAAAAATGTCTAAAATATATGTTGTGCATTTGGAGACCTCTTAAAAGGAAAATTTTGCTAGTCAAAAATATAGTTCTAGATATCTCTAAAATAGTTTACTTTAGTTTTGTGCAATAATCTTATTTGATTATGTATATTTATTGAAAATTATATTTGGAAATGATAGTTAGTCATGCATTATTCCAATCAAAATTATTTCACAATGAACAGATATATTATGTACACTAGATAATTAGGATTATGAGTTACTAGCATTTAATTACTGTAATTAACAATTGAGATTGGCTGCTTTGGTTGGGAAGCCCTTGTATGGAACAATATTTGTCAAATCTGCAAAAGTTAGGCAGATTTAAAGCTTGATAAGTGCTTCCATAAAGTGATGAAGCAAGTGGAAAACTTTGCTCCATACATGGTTCACACTTGTGCTCTAGGACGCTCTGTGCTAAACTGAGGCAGAAGTGTGTTCATATCTTTCAATAACCTTTTATAACCTCTGCTCTGATGTCAGAGGTGCAAGGCATGCTGGGAGCATTCATTCCAATATGTTTTTATGTAGTTAGATCCTACATTAGGGACAATTTATTTTGATATATCTGCAGTGTAATTTGAACAAGCGAAATTTTAATTTCAGATAACTAAAAACACTTTTAAGATAGCTTAAATATATGTTGCAGACAATCAGTTATTTGTTCCTGATACCTTGAATTTAATCGTCAATACAACTTAATAGTGAAAAGTAGTAAAACTAGCATTAGGGGTTTCTTAATTAACTTATACTATAGGTCTGATACAAAATCAATTTCAGAAATTTAGTATGTAAGTTCAGAAAAGCTAATTTTATTTTTAAATCTCCTGCCAAAGTTACATTCACACTGCCTCATAAAAAAGCCTACTAATCCCATCTCACAACTTCTAATCCTCAACTGTCAGACAGCATCATCATTAAGATAATTATGCATCTTTTGGTAGGACGGCTGTAAGACACATACTGTGATGCAGTTAAATTGATGGCAAACAGGTATGTTTTATTTGAGGTCTTAAAGGAAAAAAAATCTAATTAACTTGATGTATATTAGCTTCTTACATTGTCAAAAGAAAAGCAATAAATTAACTATTGTACTTAACGCAAGTATCATAATAAAGCAATTTTTGAGTCTGAGCTACCGAACCATGGTCATTATCATTCTTTGCTGTAGAAGAAAGAACAGGGCAAACTAACCTGTGAAGGTAATTGAATTAAATATATTGTTAAATGATATTAGAAGTGATTTATGGCATTTATCTGATCATAAAGATAAAAGATAAAAACAAAAAAATTGTAAAATTCCTAAGTATTTTTTTATTTCATTAAAAGCTACCTATTACCAGCAAAGTCACATATGATACAAATGTATGAAAGGACTCTGAAACATAAATGTCAATATATTTTGAGAATAATTCTATGATGTAATGCAGCAGAAAGTAACAGGCTTTTATTTGATCTTTTTTACAAATGAAAATCTAAATGGTGTGGCATGTATATATATTCAGCGTCATTTCTCCACCACTAAATAAGAATAAACCTTCAAGTAAACACCATAGGTGTGTTTATTTTTATTTAACAAATATACCAAACACAAAAATATAAAATAGAAACAGACCATAGTGCAGTGACAGAGTCTTTGAATTATGTTTTGCACAATAATAAAATCATTACTCCAATTCATTCTTTTTATGAAACATAATTAGAACTTCCTTTTTCTTATGTCGTAGTAAGTGACTGCTTTATTTTGCTCTTGTACATAAGATTTTATCAAGACACAAAGACTGAAATATGGTCATATGTTTGGCATAATTTCAAACTGCTCATTAAGTATCTAGGAAAAAAAATTATTTTGATTTTTTTTATTATTAAAAAGGGTTTTTGCCAGTGTAAAATCTGGGTCAGGGTAACCACAGAACAGCCTTAAATTGGAAGGACTTTTAGCTAGGTTTTATTCTGGAAACTGTTCTTTTTTTTTTACTTAAACGATAAAACGCTCACCTAAAGGCACATAAATCCCACCAGTTTGACATAAAACGAATCTGACTCTCAGTTTATTCTACTAATCTAATTTCTTTTATATTCATGCATGTCCTATTTTAATTTCTGCATAGTTGAGCTCCAGTTGCCTCCTGAATACAGATAATGTTTTTTTTCCAAATAAGGATATGGTCCATGTCATAGAACACCTCTAATTTTCCTTCTTGTGCGTATACTGTAGCTCCCTCCACAGTTATTGGCACCTCAGGGAAAGATGTAAAAAAGTCTTCATAATAAATGTATCTTTTATTACAGCGGCATAAGTTTTATCCTGGTTCATGCTTTACACATACTTTAAAACATGCACCATTAACATTGGAGGGTTACTTTTTTGAAGTTTAAATGCAGACTGAAATCATCAACACTGAAGCAGTTCAACCAGTACTGATCGTGAGATCTCGGTCTTTCATTTTCTTCAACTCATCCGTGAACAAGCTGACAGTCTGATGGAAGTGTGCACACACTTCTCTGTGTGTTCGGGTTTCTGTGTGTCATTTATCCAGCATCAGAGCTTTGAATCCCTCCTCGAAGACACGGAAAGTCTGCGAGGGCAAGAAGCAGGAAAATGGAATGATAGATATATAGATAGAGCTCTAACTGGCTGCACCAGGCAGTCCTCTTTCTCCTCCTCCTTTTTCTTCATCTTCTGCTCTACTTTCAGTCCTGAAGTTAAGCCTCAGCCACTGAAGTGTAAAGAACCTACATAACCCAATCTTAGTCAGGCTGAGGCCCATCAGAGCATGAATGTTTGGTTTATGTGGACATTCTTAAAAGTGTTAGAACCCAACATTGCTCAGTGCCTTTCTATTATTAATAAAAACAAAACAAACTAAATCCATTATTCAAAGACCAATTAAAAACCACTAAGTTTGAAGGTAAATCAGCATACATTAAGAATCTCACCAGAAAGCTTAAGTTCATTTCATCATTTTGACATCAGTTCCTCTTTTGCTGAAGACTTTTTGACTGTCTTCACTGGTAGTTCCTCAATCCCAGCAGTGATATTCTGTTATCTGCTAGCTTATAAATATTTTACCAATCCTTACCTCTGGCTACATA